CAATTGATCTCGACTCCAGTCTGTGCGATGTGTTCCGCTAGTTCTGATCATTCAGCATCCATTTTCCTGCAGAGCCTTTGATGTTCCTGGATTCGGGTGCTAATTTTTCTCCCTGTTTCGCCAATATATTTCTGTCCGCAGCCTCCGCATGATATACAGTAAACTCCTGAACAGTCCAATTGAAGTAGAGGAAGGTGAGTGGTTACCGTTCCTGGACGTTAAAGTGATTCGTTCTAATGGAACGCTTAAAAAGAAATTGTTCAGAAAGAAGACCTATGCTGGAATAATACTAATCCGAAGCCTTGGCCTGACGGATGCAGATTTCTGGGACGAGAAGCTGGACAAATTGACTAGGATCTTCCTCGGCAATGGCTACCCAAATGAGGTGATACAAAGAAACATACGGGCCATGAAAAGCCGATGGCAGAACGGGGACTATGACAAGAGTAAGGACGATTAAAGATTCACAAAAGTGAATATGCCTGCCGTCCTGCGAACTAAATCAAAAACTACAGCCAATATTGAGTAAATGGAATATTCAGGTGGCCATTAAGGAGAAATCAGCACTTTTCACAAATCTACCAAGTCACAAGTCTAGATAGGCAATGACAGAAATAGGAATTATAGTGTAATCGTTTTCGGCAGAAAGGTTGTCGAGGCATTGACTTCACTTGTCTCTTTGACGAGTTCGTAGCTTGGTGCGGAGTATGGCAAAGTTCACTGATAATACCGACTACGATGCCGGCGAAACGTTTGAGAATGTATCAAGTCCACTGTCAGTTGCTTGGACTCATGACAACTACTATGGCAGACGACTTCGGACTAGTTGCGTTCTACATAGTCGCCCTGACAACAAGACCAAGTTGTGACAACGAGGTCAACCCACTGCTATAAATTAGTCAAATTCGCTGTTATTCTCCGAATAGTCTCGCGACACCGGAAGTTTGTTCTAACACACTGTGAATAGGCAGATTAGACTAGGAAAAAAAGACTCTATAGGCCCACTGTGCCATGTCCGGTGCAAGCGACGTTCAATTTGAGCCTCTCCTTCGAGTTTTTGTCAATTTAAAGGGCGTATCAGCCTGAAGCAGATTAATTTATCGACTATTCGCAACAGCATGACACAGGAACGATTCAATTATGTCCACTAGAAGGTTTTATAGACTGTATCGCCATAACTCAGCTGATTAGCTCATTCCGAAAACTAAATTTTAGGTCTCAAATCTTGAGCTGTATCAGGTAAAGTAGTGACGGATAGTATTGAGTCAAGTTCTATGTTTGCTTAGTTAATTGTCTAATCCTTAATAAGCATCCCAAATGTTGCCACTAACTTTCCACCCAGAAAAACTACATTGAAGTCTAAGGTAGCGCAAAGATTGCACCTTAACATTAAGTTGCAAATTTATACGCAACTGGTTATAATGCTCAAGTACTCCCTACTCCTCACAATTTTCAATAAACACTTTCTGAAACATGTTGATTATATAAGCATTATTTTGTGCGTTAATGGAATAATTCCACCAATCAACCCGGATTTGCCATTTGGGCCACATTAGCTCCAGCGATTTCATTATACGCATTCAAGAATAGTCAATAGGTCTTTCTCTATTTCGCAGTAGTTCGTCGTTAAAACAGGCAAAGTTTGATATCCAGTGCAAGGCTATAGATGGAAATGTGCGCACTTTCGCGCATATGATGCTTTATTTGCAATTATCACCTAATCATTGTAGAAGGAGTGATAAGCTTCGTTGTTGAGCTCATTTTCATTTTTTTTGAAGCGTGTGATGATGAGATTCGAAGGTCAATCCCACTAGAAAAAGGCGGCGGATTCATCTTGGCCAGCATTATGTTGGCTTTACTAAAAACATTCTTCAATACTTCTATATACTATTCTTCTATACAACTTCTAAAAACATTCTTGTTTACTTCGATTTCGCGGAAAGCGTGAAGCACTTTCGTCTGTCATATCACTGTTATTTATAAAATGATACAGGAATTAAAGACGATATCATCGGGGCAGCATCAACCAGAATGTTCCACTGAAATCAATCGACATCTGATTAAGAGAAATCCACAATAGTCACCTGCTGTATTTGACCCTCAACTCTCATCATCACACGATTTTGCTCGAAATGAAGGCGATCTCAACACTTGTAAACAAAGAGTTTTCTTGAAAGCCAACTTCTTTAGCCTATAGACTTCGTCTGACGCTCATCCCATCTGCATCAACTTGGCCTTCTGAGGTGAAAAAGTTGGCATCTTAGCCGAGGCACCATTAAATTTATATAAGAGCTATATTCAACCTATTTCGTTTTAAGGTGA